TATTTCTAATATGAAAATCTTCCTCGTGCCCTTTCTTTTTTCCTTTTTTCTTAGATTTTCTCTGTTTAGTTCAATTAAAACTCACAGCATGACACTGCTACATCTCTTCACCACAGCCCTCAATCAAACCTCTGAGGCCTTCCCACAACTCTTATTTGTACTAAAATTATACATAGTTGTACTTTTTTTTTTTATCTGTTTGCACTGTTTTTGTTAGTGGGATTGGGGGGAAAGAGTTAGAGCAGGGGTCCCCAAACTACGGCCCGCGGGCCAGATCCGGCCCGCCACGTCATTTAGTCCGGCCCCCTGAACAATGCCGGATCTGGCCCGCCTCATACCAGAGAGCATTCAGTGTTTTTTTTTTTTTCCATATATTGTATTTCCCGGTTTATATGTGCATTTTTCTTCAACCACCAGGGGGGCTCTTGAGCAGATGTGAAACTAACTTTCCCTCAAAGTCAGTCCCAGTCACCGTTTCACTCACGGTTTGTTCCATTGCATTCTGGGTAAAAATCTATCTAAAAGCGCGAATGTGTCGTCGCCCCCGCACCCCCCGACCCCTTTCGACAAGAATTTTCTAAGGTTTCTTTCTACAAAAACTAAGACCGGCCCCCAACCACAGAAAGGAACAGCCATGTGGCCCTCGCAGGAAAAAGTTTGGGGACCCCTGGGTTAGAGTATAAATGCATGCCACACTTTTCAGAATTTGTTTTGAAATGCTCTACTTTGTGTTGGTCTATAACTTAAAATCACCCAAGATGTGTTGAATTTTGCTGTAACTTGCCCAAACGTTCAACATTCCTCCAAACGTGAGAGTTCAGGTCATGTGGCTTCTGGGGATCGAAAGATAAATGCATGCCACACATTTCAGATTTTCATTTTCAAAACTTAACTTTTTGTGTTGGTTGATCACATCAAATTCTCACAAAATATGCAGAATTGCTTTGTGATGTAACAAATCGTGCAGCAGCACTGTGGATGCACATCATCCAGAGTTCTTGGTACAAATGTTTGCCGCACTTCTCAGAATTTGTTTTCATGAAATGCTGCATCCTGTATTGGTAGATCACTTAAAATCCCCCAAAACATGCTGAATTTAGCTGTGATATGACCAAACATGCAATGGTCCTCAAATGTGAGGCGTTACGTCATGTGGCTTCTGGGGATCTGAATATAAATGCATGCCACACTTTTCAGATTTTTGTTTTCAAAACTCCTGAAATGTATTGGATAATCTCATAAAATTCTCATAAAATATGTTAGATTTTGTTATGACGTGACAACAGTCCTCCAAAGCATGAATCTGGACACAATGTTGCAAACAGGTTTTCAGACAAATCGCCCATCCCTTCCTCTTCCTCCCTCCTGCTGTGCGCTCTGTGTCTTTAATTACCTCTGTGGCTATTTTTAAATGCTCCTTCCAGCAGCTGCAGCTCCTGTTACCCGTCTACCTGTCTCCTTGTCTCCTTTCATCCATGTGGTTTCGTCTTCGATGTTCTCTGACAACATGACCCACTTTGTGCACAGATCTGTCTTACAGGGTTTGTTTTGTTGTGATGTCTGCTGCCTGTCATCCAGACAGCAGATGTGTTTGTTTCCTTTTCTTTATAAATTTGTACCTGCAGTAGGATGGAGTCGTTTCTGGACTTGACAGCAACAAGACTTGTTCTTTTTTTTTTTTTTTTTTTTTTTTTTAAAAGAAGGAATTTTCCCGGGAAAAAAAAGGTTTTTTTTAAAAAAAAAAAGGTTTTTTT